TAAAATTGCTTCGAGCTCATCTTCCATGAATGTGGAGAGGGACTGATAACAACATATGTACATAGTAGAGATAGGATTGTACCACGTGGAGAGAGAATAATAATGCGAAAACGGTTTGCAATCTTGACGTGTGATATGCTCCACTTGTTGAATGCAATATCAGCACCGTTGCAACTAGCCACGTGAAAAACTGCAAATGCCTAATTCCACTGGAGTAGGAGGGGATTGAATATGGTACGTATAACGGCTGTACCTTCATCATGCATGACAATGTGATGGCTTCATATAAAAAGATATACGGCGTAGCCAATCGTAAGCTTGTCGGCGTGAGAAATGTTGGAGATTTTGAGATATCAAGCTATCTGAGGCAAGATACCACAGGTCTTGTCGTAACATTTTAGTAGACATTTTAGTAATCTTTAATGGTATTTTTGAACGCCCCTCAACTTGCTAACTCATTATTTTTTCCATCCGCTAGTAGGTTCTCTTCAATTTTTGGTGAGATAGGCACTGTTTTGAGCGAAATTAGCCACTAATAAGGAGTGTCGTGTAATTACCAGAAGACCAGCTATAACTGCTTAGACTGGTTCACCAGTGATCCCTTTACGCTATAACACTGGAATATGTACATTGTTGATATCTCTCGCTGGCGTTGGATCATATTCGATATTATCTCCCTCCTATTAGACTCTCCCTAGGAGTCAAACTTTACTTCTTTGGTGTATTTCTCAGCAGGCTTGGGCGATATCTCGCATCAGTCGAGAAATATTTATCTGAGAAAAGAAGAAATGAGGATTTGTGCTGTTCATTCACGCTGCAAAGCACAACAGAGCAGTCTGCGCCTTGTGCCTCGTATGTATTCATATACGGGGTATTTATAATGTAAATGATCGATCACGCGAGGCCATGTGGCCATCAAGGTGTACGGCGATTGTATGCATGGCGCAGACCAATTAAATGTTGCACAGCAGACCCTTGACAACGCTGGAATGTGGAAGATATTCAGCAAGCAACAACTAAACTGGCCAAAATATCTCAAGAGATACCCTGACTGTTGAATAAAATTTGCCCCAAGCGATGGAAGTATTCTGTAGTCGACGCCCTAGCCGCGAACCCCCCCTTGCTTAGCGATGTATCAACTCGGTTCGATTTGGGAAGGTCATAAGAGAAACGATCCGTACGGGTCCAATCAAAAACAATATTGTAATACATTTAGATAGTTTATTCCTTAAATGTACACAGCATTGGCCGCCCTTTTCTAACACAAATAGTGATACTATTGCCAATAACATCTCTAGCTCCATGTTTAATCCACGGCGACCAAGAAAACCTGCGCATTCCTTCGGAGAAAATGGTAGGTAAGTCACACCTGCATAATGCTTGGACCTTGTGTAATACATGTGGCCGCCATGAGGGCTAATGCCCTCAAAACTTACATTCCTGTGGCGACACACCTAATTGTTCCTGTGCGCCCTGTCTGCTCTGTCAAACCTAGTGGGGTGATGTACCTCCTTTTCTCTTTCTTCATCTTGATGCTTCCATGCCTCGATCCTTTTGTTAAATATTCTCTCTAACACCGCACGACGCACGGCAAAATGGTGGTGTTCTCAAGGCCAAACTCCGCGGGCACTGAAAAGTCCCCGAAAGGCCATGCCGCAATGGACGAAGTACGGCTAGAATCTGCACTTGGGCATAAACAAGAGCTGTCGCGGAACTTCGGACTATGGAGTTTGACCAGCTTGGGGATTGTTATTGCAAAGTAAGACCCTTGTAGATCAGAAATTGCACTGATCCCACCTCAATAAACTAACGGGACCAAGTTCTTGGGCTTCAACAGGAGGTACAATTGTCGCTGCGCTCCAAAATGGCGGTCCGATGGCTGTTCTGTACGGACTCATTCTAGTCAGCGTCTTTTACACGGCCATCTCAGCCTCTCTAGCCGAACTCGCCTCCTCTATGCCTTCTGCCGGTGGAGTATACTATTGGTCGTCAGTATTAAGCCGGAGTCGAGGTCGCACAGCGGGGTTCTTCACTGGGTATCTGAATGCTTGCGCGTGGCTCCTATCAGCGTCATCGATGAGCTCCATGTTGGGGAATGAGGGCGTTGCCATGTATCTGCTGAAATATCCGACTGTGAAGTGGCATTCATGGCAAGTATTCATTGTATTCCAGATTGTCAATTGGACATGTTGTGCCATTGTTTGCCTCGGAAATCGGTTCATTCCCCTCCTCAACCGCATTGCCCTTACTCTGTCAATGTGTGGTCTCGTTACGACTGTGGTGGTTCTCACAGTGATGCCGAAACAGCATGCGAGCAGCGCTCAGGTGTGGACTGAGTACCACAACAACACGGGCGGATGGTCAGACGGAGTTTGCTTCATGACTGGTCTGTTGAATGCTGCATTTGCAGTTGGAGTTCCAGACTGTATTAGCCATCTATCAGAAGAAGGTACGTCGGAAACGGGAGAAAAGGAATCCACCAACTAACATGTTCTAGTCCCCAAACCCGAGACTAAGGTCCCGCAAGGCATAATGTTGCAGATGCTCACAGCTTTCGTCACATCATTTGTGTACCTGATCGCCCTCTTTTACTCCATCCAAGATCTAGACGCCGTCTTCACAAGTAATATCGGCTTTTTCCCAACCGCTGAGATCTACCGGCAAGCGACAGGGTCTAACGCAGGCGCTATTGGACTGATTGCGGTGCTATTTCTTGCAACCTTTCCAACTCTAATCGGGACCTTCGTGACAGGCGGTCGAATGTGGTGGAGTCTAGCACGCGATAATGCAACGCCCTTTTCGAACTATTTCGCCCAAGTGCACCCAACACTGAACTGCCCCGTGCGTGCCACAGTTGCTATGAGCGCGCTCGTCACTTGTCTCGGGTGTATCTATATCGGCAGCACGACGGCATTCCAGGCGCTGATTTCGTCATTCATTGTACTAAGCTCGCTGTCCTACTTCGGAGCCATCTTTCCGCATGTTTTGTCTGGTCGTGGGAACATGGTCCCCGGACCGTTTTATATGGGACAGAAACTTGGGATGGCAGTTAATATTGTTTCTTTGTTGTATATTTTGGTTACTGTTATTTTCTTCTGTTTCCCCTTGGTGTTGCCAGCCACGGTTCAAAATATGAACTATACCAGTGTGATCGTTGTTGGCTTGACAGTTTTCACTGCCTTCTGGTGGGTGTTCCGTGGCAGACACCAATACCATGGCCCGCAGTATAGCTTCGAGGCTGCTGAGCGGTTGGCTACTTTCCAAGAGGGCAAGGAGGGTCGTCGATCTTTTATCGATCTTGTGGTATCACCTGTTGGTATTGAGCATGGGAATGCTTCAGGATGAACAGGGAACGGGCCCCCAAAACAACCGAAAATGGGCTCGAATTGTGACTATTGTTGCTGGTTGATGACATATAACCTTCTCAATGCGCGTGTATCTATATCTTGAACTAATTTTGTATGAATATAACAGGGATTTATGTACCAATCCACAATGGGTCAAACAAGGCGAAGTTAGAGATCAGACAAGGCCGCACGATTAGCGAACCATCAATTTGAAATTGGGAATAGGAATCTTGAAGTCATAACTATCATGCATAGAAATCACTAGTAGGAGACAAGATATCCTCTCATCTTCATAGTCGCGACTTAATGCTCTGTCCACCTTCCCAAGCCTCTCCAGCTTCAAGCGTTTGCCAACCCGATACTGAGCCAGCCTCCACACAAATCATGTTCTTATAAGCCTCGTCTGGGCCGAAATCGGCCATGCCCTTGGCCTTCTCGATCCAAGGGTTCCAGACCACAACATCAGTCAAACCTTCCCGAGTGATTGAGAACAAAGATTGGTCATCCTTCGCAGAGGCAACGACAATTGGAACGGCGGGAGCAAGTTGTTGGTAAACGCGATCGGTTTCTTGGGTGATGGCCAATGCGGGGGACGATTCAGTGTGAGAAGTCGCTTGGAGGGTCTTATCGATGTAGGTCTTGGACTCGAGGCCTTTAACACGGATGTCGGAGATATCCTATTCATCAAGTTCCAAATTAGCGGGGAATCGGGAAAATTAACCCTGGGAAGTTTTATCGTACCGCAATGCTCAGATAGGTGTGCATCAGCACCTGGAAATCAAAGTTCTGCTGGCCCTCATTGCGAACCTGCAGAGCCGTCTCCAGCGTGTCCGTGGTGAGCGTAACACTGTAGACTAGACCGAACTCGTATGGCCATGCGGCGCGGAACTCATCGGTCAGCATAGAGTGCGACAGGCCGAAATCCAACTTCACGGTAAGATCGGTTTGGTCGCTATCCCTTCCGGGCGCTTCCGAAGAGGACTTGCCCAAGAACTCCCAGTTGGAGTTGCGAGCGAAGCCATGTTGTGGTAGGGTTGAGGTGGCGTGGTTTTGGGGCGGAGGACCGAAGACCTGGAGAATAAGCAGGGCGGTTAGCTAGTAGCTCAAGCAGAGAAATCGTAACGTCCACATACCGGGAACACCAGCGGAATACCACCACGGATAGGCTTGGAACCGTCCAGATGGGCTTTCTCACTGACAAACAGCTGCTCCTGGCCGCCTGTCTTCCACGAGGTCACAGTGGCGCCATACAGGTGCACAGTCACTGACTGGCCAGTGGGCAACGAGGCTTCGATGATGTTGTCCTTGATGGAGAGGGTGGGCTGGGGAAGAGAAGCTCCCACTCCAATTGCCGAGGGCTTGTTTGATCGGTCCATGGTGTAAGAAAATGGAGAAAATAAAATTGGGTTGAAAGTTGAAAGGGAGAACAGAGATGCTTGATGTTTCACATTTGAAGCGCGGGGGATCTTATCGGCCCCGCCTGTTTTGTTTTGACGGGCCACAAGGGCTCCAGGGCTCCGGCACTGGGTGTATGACATTTAACACGTTTATGCAAATATTTCGGATTTCAAGTCAATTAGCCAACTAATATCCCTAATAAGCACCTAGATATTCTGTTTATCTATTAATTCACATGCTTCACCATGTAAAATACTAGAAAACTTTTAGCTCCAAACGCTCACGCCACTAGACAAGATAAAAAAAGACACATGCACAAGCATACACGAGCCTACAAATAATTACTAGGCCAGTATAGTCATCCTGTCTCGTGGAGTTCTGTACTTTCAAAAGCTCGCCGGCAATTGGAATGGCGATAAGCGTGCCTATACTGAGCAAGAAATAGGGTTGTACCATAACGCTTTCCAAAATCTTCGGTTTTAGAGATTTGCGCAACACAAACAAGGGAGAGACTGACTACAGTGCCGCTCCAGAATCCAAAGAGCACTGTGAATGCCAAGGTAGCCGCCTGATTTGACGCCGACGGAAGCCATAGAGCGAAAGTAAACACTGAACAGATGAACGTGGCGATGATCATCACATTGAATCGCCCAAATCTTTGAGCATAGGATGACAAATAAGTTAATGGAATCAGGAGGGCAAAATCGACCAAAACGATGGCCGCCGTCAAGACGGGAAATCTGATTCTTCCAATGCCCCCAGCAGTCACAGCTGTGCCAGTAAGCCAGGGCATGATGCTTGAAAACCCAATAGACTATGCAAGCCACGCTAGGGGTGAACGCCATTAATTAGGAGATACCGCCAAGGGCACTGAATCCTAGCATGAATTAGTAATATCCCATGCGAATGTTTATCGTAAGTTTTGGCGGAGCGAGCTCGTTTATTATAAAAGAAGCACTTACCTTCTCTAACCCTGAAGACCATGAGTGATGTGACGGACCTAACACATCCCGGGATCAGCAAGGGCGCAAGACCATGCGCATTAAATAGAGATCCTTTCAGATACCAGTCGGCCTATAGATCTCAGTGAGTAGATTGAAACGGCTTTTTACCAACTTGCGCGCTTCCAAAATAAAGCAAAGCATGTACGGACTAAATATCCAGCCGATGGAAGCTTTCGAATAGTCTTTCAATTGATGGTCTGCCAACCAAACCTCGAACACGCCGATTGTATTCATAAGTCCAAATGAGGGCACCATCACGCACCAAGAGCCAAGAACGACACTCCACGCGCGCCAACCACCATCTAGAAAAACCAGGAAGCTGTCTTGCTCCATTTCATTCGAAGTATCGCTCGAACTTTCGCCCTCGGGGTTCGCAAGTCGTGAGGAACGTGAAACTAAATTCCTGCAAAGGTTTATCTTCATACTAGCCTCATGCACAAACAAATAAGAAACAGCTGTCTTCATACTAATATAGAAGGTAAGCCTTTATGGGACACCGGGGACGCTAGAACTTTTTGGAGCGGCAAGGTTAGTAGTCCCTCGCGCTCTGGGGTAAGACCTCGTAGGTAGAATATAGGGAGATAAGAGAAATAGAGCACTGTCCAATGTGGTAGCGGACTAATAGCTACTTCTTTATGAGAAATATTAACATAACTATGGGCTAGTTACTTTTCATCATTATAGGGCTATACATAACTATGTGTACATTGATTTAAAACCCAGTATCGGGGAAGAGATACGGATGGAACATGAAGCTGGCGCAGCGTAGCTTGCCTGTTATTCTCAACTCGGAACACGCAGGACCACTGTGTTTTCAGCTCATTTAAGCAACTCGGTAATGGAGCACTTTATCCGCTACCTTTGCTAATAGATAATTCTTACAAATAAATGGGAATTCTTTCTGATTATCAAAATCATTTGTCCATTTGATATAACATTTGACCCGCTTGGCAAGCATCCACTGTGCACCTTTCCTAAAACAGATTATTCCGATGTCCTCATAGAGAAGAAGAATAGTCGGCCGCGTATATACCCCTGTCATGCCTTTTAGTAGACTTTTAGTAGTCTTTTCAGTGGAAATTTCAGTGATCTTTTCGCTATTCTTTTCAGGATATCTTAAACTCCGTTCTTACGCGGTTAACTCGGCAACATCGCCATCGCATCGACCCCACGCAAATGTGGGGTGAAATGGTGTCAGTTCCTGTTCCACTCCGACCTTCCTCTCTCTAGGTCACAAGAGTCACACAGACTGCTGTACAGATTCAAACCCGTGCTAAGGTAAGATCACGCAAAACGGCACTGTTCTACACACCGGTCGGCATCTACCTAAGCCGCGCTCCCGTGACAGCTTCCCGAGCCGGGATCTCCGTTGATGGGGGCTTCTCCGCAAACTCAGAATCATGGCCAAGACCGCCACGAGGACCCAGAAAATGTCCATCTTGCTTCGGACGCTTCTGACTTGATCGGTAATAATGCAGACTTGTCGAGTACAGAAAGCGACACCGATCTCGAGAGCGATGACACCGCAATCTTCGACAGCGACTCCTATCGGAGATTAGAGTCCGCGCCGCTGATAACCAATCACCGACGATTTTCCTCCACCAACGAAAACAATGACGATCATGATCATGACGGCGTGCTTGGGCCCGCTGATGAGGATGAGGAGAAACCAGTGACTTGGAGCTCGTTGCCGAAGAAGGGCCAGTTGGCGATCTTAACCTTGGCGCGACTGTCAGAGCCGTTGACACAGACCTCTCTGCAGGCATACATGTTTTATCAGCTTAAATCGTTTGATCCATCTTTGCCAGACTCGAAGATCTCTGCGCAGGCGGGTATCCTCCAGGGCAGCTTTACAGCCGCGCAATTTATCACCGCTATCTGGTGGGGCCGTCTTGCTGATGCTGAATGGATGGGACGGAAGAGGGTGCTGTTGATCGGATTGATGGGCACTTGTCTGTCTTGTGTGGGATTTGGCTTCTCTCGATCATTTGCGACGGCCATGGTCTTTCGGACACTGGGCGGGGTATTGAACAGCAATGTGGGAGTGATGCGGACGCTGATTGCAGAGATCATTGCCGAGAAGAAGTAAGTTGATATGTTCACATGGTGTCAAGTTTCCTTGGGCTAACCGCTTAGATACCAATCCCGCGCGTTTTTGCTTCTACCCATGTGCTTCAATATTGGTGTAATCATAGGTCCAATCTTGGGAGGCTCTTTAGCCGATCCTATCAACAGCTTTCCGCAATTTTTCGGACCAGGATCTACCTTTGGAGGTAAAGAAGGTGTCTGGTGGATGCAGCGTTGGCCCTATGCATTACCGAATCTTTTGAGCGCAATCTTCATATTTGTATCATTTCTCGCAGTATTTCTTGGGCTCGATGAGGTGAGCTTATTTCCCGTCCAAACTCATACTGTCACTACTAACGAAACCGTTTAGACCCATGAAATTACACGTTATAGAAGAGATTGGGGTCGTAAACTTGGCAAGCGACTCGCAAGAGCTTGGACCGGACAGCCTCGACACTACCGTCCGTTGACACGCTCCAGAGACAATGACTCCATTTACACTGACGACAGCGTCGGTACTTGGTCTACGCCATCAAGTCCAGCCCGCTCTCGCGTGCATCCACGGCCACATAAGAAAATAGGTTTCTGGCAGATCTGGACACGCAACGTTATCTTGACTCTGACGGCTCAATTCCTCCTCGCCTTCCACACAAGCGCCTTCAACTCTATGACATTTGTCTTTTTGCCCGCACCCCGTGCGCCAGAGAACTCCCGACAAGGCCTTTTCCATTTCGGTGGTGGACTAGGTCTTCCATCATCTCGAGTTGGGTTTGCTACTGCTATCGTTGGTCTCATCGGCCTACCACTCCAGATATTCTTGTACCCGCGGATACAGACAAAGCTCGGCACGCTCACATCATTCCGAACGTTCCTTCCCTTTTCGCCAATCGCATACTTGCTGATGCCCTTCCTTGTGATTCTTCCGCGCATACCGTGGATTGTTTGGTCTTCTTTCACGTTTGTCGTTAGCTTACAGGTCGTCTCGCGGACATTCATCTTGCCCGCTGCTATCATCCTAGTGAACAACTGTGTCACCGATCCATCTATCCTAGGCACAGTCCATGGAGTGGCACAGAGTATATCCAGTGCAGGCCGTACCCTGGGTCCTTTCCTGGGTGGCTGGGGGCTAGGACTGGGTCTCGAAAATAACATGATTGGGGCGGTTTGGTGGGCACTCGCTATTGAGTCTTTGCTTGGTTGGGCTATGCTGTGGAGTATATACGAGGGCAAGGGAATCGAACGCAAGAAAGATGAGATAGAGGAAGATGAGTAATGATTATATTTGACCTGTTGATAATAACCATTGTGTACCTACGCTCCTTGGGCGTGACGCCCAGATCCCTAGCATCAAGAGCGAGTCTTGATACATAGAAATGAACTTTTGATCTCATCTGCTTCGTTCCGACTCAACTCATTAAATCATAAAATGCTAACAGTAAACAATTTACGTCATCACGTCTGAATAGATGGGGCAATGAATGCTTTCATTGCCTTGATGGCATCTCCATCATGGGCCTTGAGCAATTCCGTAGCCTTGATCTTATTTAAATCCAACTGGTCAACCTACAGCCATATTAATAAGGCTGCACAAAGACGAGCACCGAGGTAGACACGGCAAACATACTAGCAGTGTAACATCCGCCGGAGCAACCTTGACTGGCTTCTTTTTCACCACCTCATCAGTCTTCAGTACCTCAACCATCGTCTCGTTGTCGGGGCCTTGTCCAGCAGCTATATCTAGTCGACTCATGGCCCTTCCCAGAGCCTCTTGCTTTGCATTAACCGGTGCTCCGATGGAGGCACCCTCCGTTGCGATTTCATTTGTGTTGAGGGAGGAGAGAGCGGCGGCGGCTTTGCGATCTTCAGCGTTTGAGGAAAGGTGTTTTTCGACAATTCCTGGGTCAGCAGTTGCGGAAGGGATTGGATCGGACATATTTTCTTTGTTCAAGGGGTGTTGGGAGTTGAAGTTGATCTCGACTTGAGCTGTGTGTGGACAACACGACGTCACTGATAAGCCCCAGGTTCAGATAAGTGCTGACATAATTGTTTATTCATCTGCGCCAAGAAATTATTTGGACCTTTCTTTCTCTCTCAACGTCTTAATTTTCATGTTAGACTTGCTATCTTGTGTTTCTAGATGCCTTGGTACTATGTATTTGCAGTTACCAATTTTTTCGGGTTAACTCCACGACATGCAATCTCCACCTTGAGGCTCCGCTTTTGAACCCTCGGAAGAACCTCGGCATGAGAAGAGAGCCATGTGTTTAGACCGGTGTACTTCGAGACTATATTTTGACCAAAATGCGCCGATGATGGTGCTGATTACCTCAAAGTGCTGAAATATTTCTAGTCACACTCAAACGGATCATATCAATTTCGCCAATAATATATTTGACTCTTTACATAGACTTGAATATGCATCCATCTCATCTCTATATCCCTCGTTACATATAGAAATGTTTCTACACGGTGCATATGTACTATGCCTAGTGCTTTGTAAATCCAGTTTTCTCATCTTCAGCCATCTTCCCGCGGTCACTTTATATGGTTTCATTTATCTTATGATGCTCGAAGAAGAAACCCTCTACCTGTAAGAGAGGTTTGCACGGCACGTTGCAATGTGTTTTTTCATAGACGGCGATTGGGCTATGGAAGTCGAGGCGCAGGCAAAGAGTAATGTTCCCGTTAATACTGAAAAATAACTTCATTCCAAGCCCATTTATAGATTAGAAATAAACTGAGGAGATCTTCTGCAGGATCCGTACCCTTGACTTACTTTGTTGGTGGCATGATGCCTTAACGTACCTCCAAATTATGGTAGCTAGAATAAATATATTAAAGAATAAATGACTTAAACAACGGTCTTTGTTTGCTTAGGTCGCTTTCACTTTGGATCTCATTAGCTCTCAGATTGCTCTGACTTCCATCTGACTACTAAGCCTTTGTCATGTCCCCGGTCCTTTTCAAGTGCCCCCGTAAATCAATAATACGCACAAACGCATTCATATCTTCCATTGTTAAATCTTGGCATATTCGATAAGTCAGATTCGATTGCAAGGGCATAAATAGCTTCACTCAGCTGATGGTTAGATCCTTACTGTGTCTTTTGATCTCCTGGATCCTTCGGGCATTGATTTACTGACAACTATCTACCGCAGCACAGGTCTACCATAAGTACTGCCCTTCACGATGTCTCCAACTACGGGGAACTCTGCCACCGATGTGTCGGTCTGGGAACAAGCCTATCACGACGCATGGCGACACTTTCAAGCTAGCACCTTGGACGTGTTAGACAGGCTGGCCTGGCACATTTTATCTCCTGAATATCGCCAAACAACCATTGAACAGTTAGGCCGGCTTCCAATCGAGGTAGACAATATCCGAAGCACGGGACAGGCAATGTTTGAACATGCTCCAGGCTGCCGGACTGTGCGAGAACATCATCTTACTTACTTCGCCGATGATTTCATCCGGGACTGTCTCAAGCTCGATTTCATGCTGAATATGCTGTCATGGAACCTCATGAATCGTCCGAATAGTGACAGGGCAGTCTACAATGGTCTTCTCAAGCTACTGCACTCCAACAAGGATCGGGTTCCCGATTGATGATATCGATGGCTTAGTTTGTCGGATTGCATTACTGTCTACTGCTTTTCATTTTGAACCTACTAACATGGATACTTATGAATAGCCCATAAGAGATATAATCAGTTGCCCGCACCCTTCGAACAATTTTGGAATGAATTACAAATGGTTGCAATGTTTGGTGGGCTGCATTGTGCGGTTCTTTGGCTTATCACTACTTGCCTAACTATATTGACTTTGGCCATGCTAACATCTCAACTTAAACACAGCCTGCAAGCCGAACGAGCGATTTACTGTACGTGTTTTTTTTTTGTTGTCAGAATCTCAGCGATACGTGAAACTGACTAAAAACTGTAAGAGTCATATTTGATGTGTTTTTGAATTATGTCTAAACCGTGAAGCCAGAGGTCTATCTGCTGGTTTGTGTCTTATAATAATCGGCAACCGATACTTAGAGGGTATGTAGGCTATAATTCATCCTATACTATATCTATAACGACATTAAGTACCTTCATAAGTACATACATAATGAAATGGTTATTATACACACAGTTCTATGTACAGGGAGTTAAAGGTTATTATAAATTGTCAGAGAGGCAAATGAATCATGCAGCAATGCTCTACAGGGCAAGAGCCAGAGCCAAGACACCAGCTGCACCAGCAACACCCATGGCAATACCTCCAGTAGGAGCAGGGGCACCACCAGTAGACCGCGAAGAAGAAGGAGAAGCCGATGTAGAGCTGGAGCTGGAATCGGAGCTGGGGGCCGAAGAGGAAGTGGAGTCAGAGCTGGAGCCCGAGGAGGTGGTGGAAGCTGAAGTGGTCTGGGCGGCATTGGAAGAGGCCTGGCTGGCAGCGGCGGTGGAGCCAGTCTCGACGGCGCTGCTATCAGCAGTCTCGGTCTGAGTAGCGCTGCTATCAGCGGTTGCTGTGGCACCAGCGATCTGGTCATCAAAGTTGGACGAGGCCCAAGCCTTGACGCTGCTAGGCAACGAGTTGTACCAAGCAGGGTAGGTGCCAGCCGCAGCTTCGCTGACGATTGAGGAGCGGGAGGCGGGGTCCATGAGATCGTTGTACCATGAGGCCGGGATGGCTGTTGCCAGAACAGTCATGATGGAACTGGGCACATCCGCAAGATCGTAGGAATCATCACTACCGGTAGTCTCGGTGCTTGAGGATGTGGCAGTAGTATCCGCAGGGGCAGCCAGGGCCGTGGCGGCGAAGAAAAGAGTGGCAAGGATCTTGTACTGCATGGTTAAAAGAATGTGGGTGTATAGGGATGTGGATTGAAGAAAGAAAAACCAAGGCTGGCAGAAGGTTTAAATACTCTTGGGGTCGAGAAAACCCAATGGGCATTACTCATGGGGCTCTTCCAACCTTCCAATCTTGGAAGAGCCTTCGAGGGACCTGGCCCACGTTTTTACCTACGTTCGGGCCATTTCGGGCCACGCTAGTACAAAACAAGCAAAATATAAACTGACCACGCTAACCCAAAACGACCACACTACAGTTAGCGCCGAGTGATGGCCAATCACAGTTGGCAGACCCCTTTTGGTCGGCCCGATCAGACCAAATTTCTTCGACGCTCTCGATACGAAAGTTACCTGCACTGCACCCCATTTCAGGCGCTGTGGCTTGGCTTAATTTCTCGTCTCCGTCAGCATTTGCTCTGTAATTAGTTAAGGAGTTTATTACGATCTATCGTCCCCCCCCTTTTTTTTTGTTTCCGTGGTCCGTCCTCTTTTCCAAATTTAGCTCCTAAAGGATCGGCTTTCTATGCCAAGTCTGGGGTAGTAAGAAATGGGAAATCTGCATCAAATCTGCATTTCTACTCCATCCACGGAAAATATACGGCAAATATAAAAAAGCTTGTTGCCCCCAAGCCTTGTCGGTCTCGTAAATACTGCAGATGACGGCCTTGACCTTACTTTTGTCAATGCCCAAGGCCCTGCAGAGTACCATGTCCACCTATGCTATAGCCAACAGTTTACCGGAAGGTGCTTTAGAATTTCACTTCGAGGCTTGTTTCATATCCCTACTGTTAATCTCTCAAGGGGTACGTGGTGTGGTGTGGTGGGTAGGTAGGGTTAGGTGGTCAACACCTATCGGCTAACTAGTGCTTATGCTGGAAAAATCCAGTAATTTAACCAGGATATCTCCCCCCTCCATAATTGATCAGGCTCATATTGTCAAAAATCAAGCTTTTACGAATATTACGTTCTATTACTAGTCCCTTTTTCAGTATGGCACACGCATCTCTACTATAACTTTTTGCCTCTTTTCAAAGTCAATGGTTTTATATGCCGCAGTTGTGATATCACAAAGCCATGCAGAGTGTGTGGTGTTCATAAAAAGGCCCGCCTTGTCCAGACAGACCATAAACAAGGCTCAAGGTTGAGGTTCACCAGACAAAGAGACGCCTGAAACTATTTAGAGACACCATTTTGAGGCACTCAGATGATACTAACTAGTTACAAGGCTCTATCCATCGTTGCCAGTGCTATCAGACATGACTATTAAGTCTGATATGAGAACTTACCTGCTGTTTACAAAGCAGCGAACTTCATCACTCGATGCATCTTATAGGTCAAGTTCGAGAACGCTCATTCACATCATGAGCCTCCGATCCACAGCCTTTCAAAATCACTCAGATTCCAAAGGAAGAAGAGAACCCGTTATCTGGGCCATGTCACCTTCCATATCCATGACTGTACATATCAGGGGTACCACTTGATGACTTGAGGAATGGAGGCCAGAGGTCAGGAGATTGCTACATGGTGAGCATGCAATGGGGACCTATGGTCTGTGCTCTGTGTTTCCTTATTCCCAGTCAATCAACACCCTCCAGTTTTGAAAAAGGCTGTATGGAACTCTCAACAGCAACCTCCTAACGTATGCCTAGTCACACAGGAATGTGAGACAAATATGGTGCCTCGAAGATCAGGCATGAAAGTGAGTCATCCGAGTTCCGGGAATAAGCGTCTCACGTACACACACCTTTCTTTTGTTATGTGCCCTTGATATATTTTCACTCAGTCCTTTGTTCCAATTTTTAGGAAATTATCACTTAACCACTATCAATTCCTCATTGCATTTGTTTGTGCTGGTCAAACCGAAGACACTGATCTCATATCATCCCACCACCTTCAGAGATCAATTGCCCACCATGGCCGAATGGAGCCCTAGTTGTAAGAGCAAAAATCTGTAAACATCTCTTTCACGTTTGATCTAGTATCTCTAACTATATCTAGCTTGGACACAAAAACCCATCAAGCAAGATGTCATCTATGAGGATCTTCAAGGGTTGAAAGTCTCACTGCAAAAACTACAGAAGCTTCCTCCACTTGTGACCACACAAGAAGTACGTCTTTTCATTAGACCGGATCTTAGCTATCATATTGACCTGATTTACAGATTATCAATCTCAAGAAAAACCTACGAAATGTCGCTTTGGGCAAAGCATTCGTTCTGCAGGGTGGTATGTTGCACAGGGAAATATCCCCGAGACGTAAGGACTAACCCTTTTGTCCAGGTGACTGTGCGGAGCTCTTCGACTACTGCAGCCAAGAAATGATCGAAGCCAAGGTGAAGCTCTTGTTGCAAATGAGTTTGGTTCTCATCTGGGGTATGTCAGACCCCCACAAAAAGCAAAGAAACTGGCAACTAATCCACCAATAGGCGCCAACAAGCCCGTCATCCGTATTGCTCGGATCGCAGGCCAGTTTGCAAAGTAGGTTCCTCATCTATTGATTTATAACTACAAATCTAATCACAAGATTAGGCCCCGCTCAAGTCCAACAGAGGTCATCAATGGAGTGGAAATGCCTTCTTTCCGCGGTGACAACATCAATGGCTTTGCAGCAGACCCTACGTCCCGCCAACCAGACCCATCACGTCTAGTCTCAGCCTACTTCCACTCCGCGGCGACTCTGAATTACCTCCGTGCCTCGCTCTCCTCGGGCCTGGCAGACCTGCACTCCCCACTAGACTGGGGTCTGGGCCATGTAATCACGCCCTCAATCAAAGAGCAATACGCCAAAACCGTAGGCGCAGTAAAGGATGCCCTGCGCTTCATGCACACAGTAGGAATCGACAAAGACCGCGGCTTCGAGACAGCCGACATCTTCACCAGTCACGAGGGTCTCTCCCTGGAATACGAGCAGAGCCTAACCAGACTCCTTCGCCACCCAGTGAACTCAGGCAGCAGCAGCAGCACGTCTTCCGAAACAGGCTACTACGCAACATCCAGCCACTTCCTCTGGATCGGTGACCGCACACGCCAACTCGGTGGTGCGCATATCGAGTTCTTCCGTGGCATCGCTAACCCCGTCGGAATCAAGATCGGGCCCAGCATGGCGCCGGATGAGCTGGTGCAGCTGCTGGATGTTGTCAACCCAGATCGTGAAGTCGGGAAAGTGACTCTGATCTCTCGGTACGGCGCTTCGAAAATCGCTAATTTCCTCCCGGGACATATTGCCGCCGTGCAGGCCTCTGGTCATATCCCTGTCTGGCAATGTGACCCTATGCATGGCAATACACAGAGCACACCATCTGGTGTGAAGACCCGCCATTTCACGGATATCTTGTCTGAGTTGAAGCAGGCGTTGGAAATCCATCGCGCTGCGGGGTCTTTCCTCGGTGGTATGCATCTTGAACTTACTGGGGAGGCTGTCACTGAGTGTGTTGGTGGTGCTGCTGGGCTGACGGAGGATGGGCTTGGGGAGCGGTACACGACATTCTGTGATCCACGCTTGAACGAGAAGCAGGCTTTGGAGCTCGCTTTCTTGGTTGCTGGGTTCTACCGTGAAGAGTCGGAGGAGTGATCTCATCGCTTTGGTTGATTGGACAAGAGATAGTTGAAGCGGGACAGCGAAAAGATTTCGGGTATTATGAGCGAGTTTCTGAATCAAAAGTCTATCTATATTTTGCAAGTTCATCACGGATATGTGTATTTGAATCATCAGGTATTGAGTTGATTTAACTGAGATTCGAAACAAAAAATAACGACCAATATCATTGTACAACAATCCAACCTATCCAGCTCGCCGTCGTGGAGCAAAATTCATAAGCGCCCAAACAAAGAGTCCCCATATTTACATTGACTGGGTATGAATCTACAAAACGTGAACAATGCAAAGAATAAAATCAAGGAACAAGAGGGCTGGCGACAGCAGGCTTGTAAACAAGACTCTTACGTCTAGCAGCCTCCATGCGGAACCGGCGCTGCCTCCTGGATTCCTCGTCTTGTCCCTCATCCAGCATGATACTCACAGGCTTGGCGCTCGGGAACAGACCCCGGTTACTCTGCTTTGGCGGGCAAGATTGCTGGACAAGCTTGGAGCGATTTCCAAGGAATCCGGGTGTAGCGGGCGACATGCCAATGGCATCAAGGTTGGCAAAATTGTATCCCGGAGTAGCAGGGAATTGGTAGCTATCAGCAGAAGATTGTTGTGGGGGTGTGGATGGCATTGGCTGGTGGGTCGGAGGTGTGATCTTGCGGAAACCTTCAACGGCACCTGGGTTGACACCACTGCGACGTCCGCCGACAGATGGCGCGGGGGATTCGGAAATGCGCACGAGTGTTCCATTCACATTGCTCAGTGCACGAGGCTCCATACTCTTGCGGCGCTTGGCGCCTCCGCGAGGAATGATAGAGCTGTCAACTGCATACGGAGTTTCATCGAGCCATTGGTTTTCCCGTTCACAGCTAGATATAACAGTCAGAAACGTCGCGTAAAGATGCACAGAAGATAAACTCACTCAAGGACCCAACCAACTCCAACACACTTGACAAGACCCGCTGCCTTCTTGACTTTCTCCATAGTCCGCAGGCCACCATCCTTGTACACAACATGGGTGATGCCAATTCTCAGGTCCTTGGGCTCTGCACCATCAACCGGCGAGAGACTGGAACGAGGGTTCCAAGACCAGGACTTCACACATCGGGCGCCCATTTGCTGCAAAAGTTCCACAAAGATACCAGACGCATCCTCACCCTCGGTGGTATGAACATCCACATGCACAACTGCCCCGTGCAGAGCCTTCTGTTCAGTGCTCATGCTACGACGTGCCTTCTTGGCAGGACTGGCGGTTGCGACGGGAGTACCGGGGACAACCATCACTGGTTCTTTGACACTGCTGCGTCTACCCGTGGTAGAACGGCGTTTTGGTGCCGGACTTCTGCTCATCCGTGTAGATTTCCGAGAGGGAGACAGAATCGGTGCAGTGTCATTGAGTGCCATAAAGGTTGGCTTGCGAACACGCGGAGAAGATCGAGTGGGAGATGTGTTCGAGAGGGACAGACCTCTCTTGCGGGGCAGCTTGAGAGGTGACACGTCGCCTTCGGCTTTCAAGGGCACTTTTGACACCGTATGAATGGTGCGTAACTCGTCAGGTTGGACTTGATCCTTCATTGGGGTTGATGGAAGAATCGGACCGCAGTTCTCTTTGTCATCGAGTAGATGAAACTCTTGGCCCTGATCTTGCGGGACTTCGGCTGTAGAAGTATGCTCTAGTTCAATGATTTCCGAGTCAGGATCCTCGAAGATATCCGTGCCCTTGTTTGGCGGGTCAATTATTTGATGGTCTTCATGGATGGATGATGGCCGTGGAGTCTGTTCACACTCAGGGCTCATGCAAGCACTTTGAGGCTGAAGTGGAAATTTGTCAAACAAAGAGGGGGTATTTGTCAAAGGACTCTTTGACAAATTAGGATACGACACACTCTCAGGATTTGTCGGAGTGTCCGTGTTGGTACGGTCCAAGGGGCCCACTAACGAGAAAACTCCACGGCGACGCGGTCGGAGTGATCTAGCTTGGGAAGGGGTGTTTTGTTCCCAACGGCCAAACTTCTGTGCCAATGGAGTAAAACCTAAGCTTGTCTCAGCATGGGATTGGTGCTGATCAACAAAGCTTGGTGTGTTAAAGAGACTGGGTGCCATTAACGCAGGGCTATCAACCTGGGTCTTTGGCGTCCAACTATTTTCTTCATGCAGGGGCGCGTCAATGATGACATTATTGGCATTCTTGGCATCGAGGGTGGAGTCATGATCATTCTCTGAGTTGGCTGGGCGATCCAAAGCTAATGAAGCAGATTCACCGCCCGTGGGACTTGGTTGTGGTAAAGCAATGGATTGCGTCCTTTGGACCGGGGTTGCAATATCCTCGACATAGATGTTCTCATGTGGCGAAGCAGGCTTTGGCGATATTGTAGCAAACTCAGGCACGGCCAGGATAGACTCTGTGTCTTCCACGTCGCTCTGCTCGCTCATCACTTGTCCCTCTTCCTCGGGTTGTTGAATGGCCTCTTGTACATTTTGGGGCTCTTCCTCAATCTCCCGCCGCTCCAGTACCGCCAGCTCATCTTCGGGATAATCCGTGTGCTCCATGTCTGAGTCCGCCACCTGACCTTGTTCGTCATACAGGTCATTGTCTGCGCGGTGTGCATCTTCCATAGTGTCGAAGCAAACCGTATCAGCTTCTTCGTATTCAAACTCGCTCTCGTGATGGAGATCTTCGCCCTCTTCTAGGCCTGAGTCTTCCTGGAGTTGTTGGTTATGAAGATCATGCGCTGCCAATTGGGCGTCTTCCATAGTATCGAAGCAAACCGTATCGGCTTCTTCGTATTCAAATCCATTCCCCTCATGGAAGTCTTCATCCTCTCCTAGGTCTGAGGCTTCCTGGACTTCTTGGTGATGAACATCATACGCTGCCAAATGGGCGTCTTCCATGGTGTCAAAGCAAACTGTGTCGAGTTCCTCGTCCTCAAATTCGCTCTCGTCTTGAAGATCTTTGCCTTCTTCTATGTCTGACACATCCTGAACTTGTTGGTCATGTAGATCATGAGCTGCCAATTGGGCATCTTCCATGGCGTCAAAGCAAATCGTATCGGCCTCTTCGCGGTCAAATTGAGCCTGGTATTCAAGTTGTTCGGTAGCTCCGGGGCCTGAGTATTCCTGAGTCTCTTCATCACAAAGGTCCTCCGCTGCTATATTGGCCTCTTCCATAGCATCGAAGCAAATCGTTTCAGGCTCTTCGTACTCGGACGGGGCTTTATCTTGAGGAGATTCACTTTCATCCTCTTCCAAGTCTGAGTCTCCCTCCACCTCCACCTCCGCAGTTAGAGATTCGGTGTTTTCATCATTGAATGAGTCTCGGACAGCTTCTGAGGTGGCAAAATCTTCCTGAATGGGAGAAACCGATGATGCCTTTCCATCAGAAGATAACTCAATGCCAAAAATGTCTCGAGCCACATCCTCGACCATTTCGGTGTCCTTTTCAAATGCCGCCTCGTCTGGCAGGCTATCCCTTGGCGAGGATCTTGGGGTGGTGGATTGTGCGAGTTCGACTGTCTTAGAAGGGGTTCCATCATTGTCGATGGGTGTAGAGGGGCCCACAGATGCATGAGTAGAGAATATCGAGTTTTTGAACGGAGAAGCTATTCTCTTTGCGGGGCTTTGAAACAAGGGAGTTCGAGCAGGGGCTGCCGATGTAGAATCCTTGAATGGGGATTGCGAGAAAGAAGCACCCAAATAACCCTTCTTGGGTGACATCTTCAATGGAGAAGTGTGTCCGGGTGTGAAATCAGGCGCGGAAATCGGATTCACGCTACCCCCGAAGAGGGAGCCTCCACGGTTTGGGGTGTCTCTCATGGAAAACTGGAAGGGAGATGATGGTGCTGGTCGTCTCGCAGGACTAGACATCATCATAGAATCACTAAAAATAACTGAATTTCCGGGTGGAAGAGCGAGGTGGCCATTATCTGCGACTGCGTTCTGGCTGCGGTTCGGCGCAAAGTTGATTTTCCTGACTGGGGAGCTAAGTCCGATGCCGTCTGATCCGTGTTTTGGGGTTGGTAGTTTCGGTTCGCCATTCTCGTCCACGAAGCTGGATGCCTTCTTGGGGGTAAAGTTGATCCTTCGTACAGGAGAGCTCAGTCCAGTGGTCTCCAAGCCATGCTTGACTGGCGAGTGTACAACAAGTCTGACCGGATCCTTGGTGTCGTCCTTAATGGTGTTCAATTCATCATCTTCTCCATCAGAGCTTGCGTATGCTGATAGAGATTTGGCCACCTGCTTGGCCTTCTTGGGAGATAATGGCTTGGTCGCTTCTTTCTTCGCTGCAGCTGGCTTCCTTCCGCGAGTGCCGGTTGTCACGGGCTTGCGAACTGGGGTCGCTCCGAGGCCAGCCTTGCCAGCACCCGTGCCCTTGGTCGCTACTCGTCGACGGCCAGCAGCAGGAACCTCGGGCTCCTCGGCTTCGGAATCCGACACATCCTGGAATTTCACTGTCTTCTTCTTGGCGGGTCCACGTAAAAGGTTCGAGCGCATAGTTGTCGAGTTTGTCGCAATCCTGATTTGGTTCGATTTCGTATCATTCGCTGTGTCAATTGCCGCACGTGTCCGTCTGCTCGTGGCCACCGTTTCACGGGTCGGAGGGGCCTTCGCTGTTGTTGCCGCTCTTGGTCGCCCCCTGGTTTTCGGTGCAGCCTCGGGCTTGGTTGCAGCAGCTTCTGTGGGCAAGGGATTTTTTCTCGGTCTTCCAACACGCTTCTTTGGTGCCTCAGTTTGTTGTCCTAGCTCATTTTCGCCGGCGTTGTTTTGGGGTTTTGGCTTGTCGGCAAGGGACTCGAAAGCCTTCTTTCCTCGCGCATTCACAGTTGTCGTAACTTTCGATTTGTTAGTTGGACGACCAGGAGGACGTGCGGTGGGTTTCGTGGGTTTGCTTGTGATAAATCCCAGCTCATCATCAGACTCAGCATCGAGAGCCGGGTTCGCAGTCCGTGGTGCTGGTGCTGCTCTTCGAGGGGCTTTCTTCTTGGCATCGGCAGCGGCTGTCGATTTGGTCGAGGTTCGTGCCACCCGTTTCGCAGGGGATTGTGGGATTACTGCGGCGCGCGCCATGTTGATATCGTGTTGTCGTTGATGGTCGCAGTTAGTATTGGCATGCGACGCTCATGGCGGGTTTGGGCGGTAAAATGTGGTATCGGCCCAATGTCGTAAGGTCGCAGGTTACCGGGAGTTATCTGATTAGGTGCATGAACGAGGAAGCAAGGCAAAGCAAATAACCCACTGTGGAGGCGGCGGTTGATCCAAGGTTGCTTGTTGTGGCGTTTCCCATAGCAACATAGGCACGTGATATGATCTACACAGTCAAAAAAATACATCAACAAGGACATCAGGATGTTACATCGGATTAATTCAAGGACAAATGAAAATCATAACAAAATAGCAGCGTAGAAGTCTGCTACTAATGATGTTATAAACTACTCTGGAGTTCAAAATTGCACCATAACTTATGCCTCATTCGATATATATTTCTACCAGGTACCTGCATAATGTAGCTTGAAATCATCCCTTACACTCTCTAAATACTCTTTTTCTGGCTTTATGCTGTTATAAAATGCTTGTTGGATGTCAGTACAGATTTAAATGAAGAAAATTGTGCATCACCTTCATAGTCGCAAGTCTCGAGAGCCGTAATTATGCCCCAATGTATAGTTACGTGAAGGATGCCGAATTAATAAATGGTCCGGGCCAGTTACGAACTTACCCTTCTTGTCATATGATTTAACGCAAATTTGAGTGGAAGAGGAGCAGACGTTGTTTGAGGGGCATATATTTCCAACGGTTTATTTGCGATCGAATTGAGAGATGGAAGGGATAAGGTTGTACTGAAGTACAAACATATTCTCATATGAACATACATATATGCATTACTATTGAATTAGATCCACTGGGATCCGAAGAAATCTAGGCAAATACCAGTAAAATGCAAATGACACGAGGATGGCTCGATGGGCGCTTGAAGAAAGTACCAAATGGCGAAGACCCGCGTTCAGAATGCGAGTAGCTGCAACATGGCAGCCGGAAGAAAAATAATTCATCATGTCTGGTTATACCAGGATGAGCATTGCCAAGCTGGCTGCGGCAACCGTGGATAGCATGGTGGGCAAACTCACTGAGGCCATACTCTCAGACAGGTAATAAGCTGGATCATAAGACGACGGTGTGGTGGAGTTCACAGTACCGTTCCAGCAGTACCGGTCGAAACACTGGGTGCAGATATCCGGGAGTTTGGTACCCGTGCGCTCGAACGAGCGGCTGAGGATAGCACAGCCAACACAGGATGTCCAGTTGCCGTCTATGGTGCTGTTAGCCATGGTAGCAACCTCGTAGCCATTGAGAATGATATTGTCACGCTCAGTGTCGTCAGTGCTGAGTTGGAAGGTTGAGATGTTGGAGTGGTAGGAGTAAGGGGCATTGGGGATGTACACGACGATAGGTGTGGGTCCGGTCTGGTTAGAACTATCACAGCCAAAGAAAGATGGGCGGGTGCTGAGACCCAGGTTGACGAAGGTGTTCTGGTCTGGAACCGCAGGGAAGGCGGTACCGTTGCCGATACCGCTGCTGTTCAGGCTGCGCTCGTAAGTTGCAACCAGGGAGGTGCCGTTTGGCCAGTAATAGTCGGTGTCGGCTGAGGAGTCGACGGCGAAGATGACATCGACATGGCGCTCGGGCTGGATAAGAGGATGCAAAGGGACGTTCTGTCCATCCTCGCCGCCATCAACGACGTCCAGCAATTTCTGCGTGGCGTACGGCGATGAGTGCTCGTTGTATTTGTAGAAGGGGTTGGGATCGTAGGAAGCGATGTCGTCTTGAGCTTTGTCAAACTTTTGCAAGAGGTCGGTGAAAACGTTCTTTACGAAGCTGGGGAGCGAAGTGGTGTTGATCTGGAGAAGGAACTGGTTGAAGAGTGTGGATGAGGTTCCGATCACAAAGCCGGCACTGTCGAAACCGCTGATGCAGCTCTCGTTGCTCGGCAGCGAACCACCTTCGAACTTAGAGCCCAGGTACTTGAGCGGAACGAAACCAAAGATAGTAGGGTCAAAAGTTCCGAACTCCCACGGGTTGAACTCATAGACAGTCGAGTTGCTGCCAACGAGCAGCTCACCGGGGTTACGGCCATCTGCAACAACAAATGGCATGGGGTAGTTTCCATCCTGGAACTCGGGGGTGTCGGCAATGGAAGACCAGGTATAGCTGAGCCCACCATTGCTAGCATTGAACATTTGATAGGAAAGTGCGCGGCCCCTGTACCCAAGTTAGTAAACATATATGCATCACTAAAAACAGGGATAACATACCAAATATCAGTAAGAGAAGTATCAAAGCCAGCGTTCTTCTTCCCCTCAGCAGCTTCAGCAAGGTCCTTGTAGTAACTAGCAGAATCCAAAAGCTGGATACCACCAGTATCAGGGCCCTCAATGATCGAGTTCCCGAACTGCCAGACGGAACCATCCGTATGCGTCTGCAGTTTGTCGATAGTAGTGAAGTTATTGATGTAGATTGAACCCAGCAACCAGCTGCCTCCACTCAGACCAGCAATATAGGTAGCAGACTGCAGCAGACCACCCAAGTGCCCGGTCGTCGACGCATTGTACGTCCGACTGTCGAAAGCCTTGATGGCACCGGCACCGTTCATCAATGCACGCCATCCACCGCCCGAAACGGCAATACCGATATTGGGCAGACTGGACGAGTTCCCAGAATGTTGATCGAGGTAGCTAACGACGTCATAATCGCCGACTTTCACATGCCCGAAGAAATCCTTCATCGCCGACAGAGTCTTGCCTCGGCGGACTTCTAGCCATGATGTCTCGTTTGAAGACAGCTTCGCTGCGCTGCGAACTGTCGGTCGGCTTGCTGGGCAGCTGACAGATGTCGGCGTGTACCCGTCGGGCGCATTGGGGAGTGCTCGTTGCACACCTGCAAATGTAATATCATCGGAATTGACCCTGATATCATCGGAATTGAGCCCGCTAGGAGCAGCGATTGCACCTGCGAGAACACGGTGATTAGGGCGGTGAAAATATTATTTTGTAGATGCGTGTAGAGGTTCAATTAAGCCAAGAACGGTAATCCCGTAGAAGGAAAAAAAAAAAAAAAAAAAAAAAAACCACGAAAAATACTTACCGGGCAAGCCCAGAGCAATCGAGATCAGCGCAGATGTTTTCATAACGGTTCACAACGGTTCACAATTGTGACCGACTGTTATTTGCAGAGACGCAGAAGGAATAGATTCACTCCTAGGGTGAGATACTTAGGCACGGAGGGGGAGGGAATACTTATGAACCGGGCTCGCCGGAAGCTTAGCCAAGCCCCTCCCCAATGTCCCAGAGTGGTATGCTGGTAGTTCCTTCGGTATGTTCGTAGGGTTCGCGAATCATCGCTGCCGAGTGGAGTGAAGTGATGTCAAAAGATGCCGAAAAACTCCGTTTTACTTTACAATACATTGAATATAGAATGAAAACCACTCATTTTTCAGACGCCAGGTCAGAATACAGTACGGAGTACTCCGAACAACCGTGGATAACATGTAGGCTGCCTAAATGGGGGCTGGACAGGGGCTGATTTTGAGGGTGTCATGTGATACGAATACGGTCAATGTGGGCACAAGTAGGCACCCGCATTTCAACCGTCATTATTGGAGTACAACCCAACCCGTAGGGCTTAGGAACCCCTAAAAGTGGACTCATTCCCAATCACTCCACAGTCAGATGGATGTGGCTCATGTAAAACGGGGATGGCTTAGGTTGCGAGGTGGATCTGGCATAAAAAGCAAGGTAACAAAAGGGATTGTGATTGGGTGAGATCAAAATTATGCAGCACAATATCTCGCACTCGTATTACTACTTCCAAGTATGGAATAGTACGAAGCGATAGCGTCCACGGTATAATTTGCGCGATGTGGATGCTGGTCACAGATCGAGATTGGCATTACTGTGGTGTGAAGGAATTGAGTATAACCTACTATCAGATGACAAAGTGAACTAATTAACTATCAGTTGAATTGAATTTGATAAAAGCGTTGGACTTAACCTTGGAAGAAAAAGAAAGAAAAAAACATCATCCCAATAGAACCAAGCTAAAGCAAAGTAGAGAGAACCAGTGATCAGTTGAATTCATTGAAATGTGAGGAAAGTGTCGGACTTGACCTTGAAAGAAAAAATAACAAAAACACCATTTCAAACGAATCAAGCTAGAGCAAGGTAAACTTTCTTTCGCACTCACAATCTCAGCCACGACTAGGGCCAATCTCGGCATGTTCAAACTCTGCCTGTTCCTCCGTGGTCTCGTTAGCCTGCACATGACCCTCGGGCAAGTTGTTCAACTCATCCTCCTCCTTATCCAGACCCCAGAACTGGATAATGAACAAGGTTCCTCCCACAAAGGTCAAGATAGCGAAGACGGCGTAGTTCCAGATCAACAGAGGGTCCCTGGAAAGCGTTATCAAAGCCTCGGCGATGGCAGCGGAGATGGCGTTGGTGAACATATTGATCGCTTGGACGAGAGAACGCATATTGCGAGGGGCCTTGGAGTAGGCATACTCCATCGAGGTAATGATGGCAAAGATCTCCGATATCGCAACCAGGACATACGAACCAGTCTGGGCCCAGACAATGATAGGAGACGGGTTGACACTGCCGTCGTCAGTGTAACAATTGTTAGCTCGGTAACCGCACGGTGAAGTCAGGTAGATGTAGTACTGGATGACAGCAGCCCATATCATAGAAAGTGATGCGAGCAAAAAACCAAGGGTGATTTTCTTGATGGCCGTGAAGTGAATGCCCATTTTGCGCAGCCCCGGGTATAAGAAGATGTCACAGAGCGGGACGAAGATCAGCAGTGCCAAGGGGTCAAGATTGTTCACAACGTCGTTCGGAACGCCTTTCAAGGTCATTGTGCCGGCCTGTGCGGTGAGATTGTTTGTCAGTTGGTTGTAGGCTAGCCAGTAGACCGGGAAATAGCAAAAAACAGCACAAGCGGCAAATCCACGGCGCACTTCGTCCACCCATGCATCGTCGAAGGTCATCCACTTGGGTCGGAATTGGGGCTCGATGTTAGAGGGCTTCGCGGTGTTCCAGAGAGTGCCATCGTGCGTTCGCTTCCAGAAGATGTATGGGTTGTAATGCCAGCGGTTGCGCATGCAGAACAAGAATGTCTTGATGGCCTTGTAGGTCACTGAGCCTGCCGGCCGTGACTGGCGATAACGCTTGCGACCCCACCACATGATGAATGGGGTAGTCAGGAACATGGCGGTGGGCAGCAGGAATGCCAACCAGAAGCCGATATACTTCTCTGCATAGGCCATGCCAATCTGACCCATCAATGCGCCGATATTGATGAACAGGTAGAAGTAGTGGTAGATGCGGCTTTGGGTGATAGTCGGGTCGATGATAACACGCTCACCGGATTCAAGTGTACGCACCTTGAGATTGACAGCAGGGATCTGCTCGACAACCAGGGCGGATATGTTGGGCTTGAAGCCACCAGTCCCCAAACCCATGATTATGACACCCAGGACAAACACAGCAAAGGAAGAATTGGTGTTTGTGATCACTGGTGGGATGGCAGAGACAACTAGAATGATGTGACCTAGAATAGAGGCACCAATAGACCAGGAGATGGTCTTGTACCGTCCCCAGTACTCATCAGCGATGTAGGCACTCACTAGGGGAAGGCAGTAGCACCAGAAGGTGTTGAAGGTGTTAATGGCGCTGGCAGTTTCAATACCCTTACCTAAAGCACCAGATACACCCTGGGAGCTAGGGCCACCAGCCCCAGTTGCGTGGTTCGATCCGGGAGGGCCATTTGGGGCAGGAAGAGGAAGTGCATGGTTGACGAAGTTAGAGTCTGTAGTGCAATGTTAGAATCATTTTTTTATCTGGCTCGTATGGGGTTGTGGGTGTCTTACAGAGAACCTGGGTTCCATAGTAGGAGAAACGCTCGCACAGTTCAACAAATGCAACGGTGTACACGACCCAGGGAATAGGAGCTGAGACGCGACGCAACGCGTTGCGGCCATGAAGCTCATCAGTGGTTGGGTCTTCGTCACCCGCACCGAGGTCGTACGACTCGGGGATGACACTTTGCTGGGGCTTCTCATAGGCAACTGGGTCACTTTGCCTAATGGTGGTGACAGGCTCGATATCATGGACAGCGAGCGAGTCCGAGCCTAGGCCTGTGACCTGAGCAGCCATCTTGGATAGAATAGAGACCAGTGTAGGGCAGGGAAGAGAAACAATGGGAGGGACGTGTGTGGAAGAGAGAAAAGAAAGAGAAAAGAAGAAGCAAACAACCGAAGTGAAATTCACATGCTGGGACTGAACTCGGGGTGCTGTTGGATATGAGAAACAAACAAACCTGCAGACTCCTAGCTTAGATTACCCATACCAAAGCCATGGCTTCAATAGCAGTCATACCTTCTTTTTGCTCTGTTACCTTTGCTACAAGACAAGACTGGGCTAGGCCGGGGGATACAACTTAACACCAAGCGAATTAATAGACCACAACATCAATCAAGTATTGAGATAGATGCAGCATATGCCATACCATGTAACCTGCCGTGATATGTAACCTCCCCATACCATAGCATCGATGGGTCCTTTTTCTGGCCAAAGAGGAAGAAAGACAACGCTAAAATCAATGGCCCGAGCATTTTATTCTATACGAGATTCTCCTAGGTCGATTTGATGCCAGTACGGAGCCGGATATCAGATATCGAAAATTGGTCAATCATACAACTCTCTTTTGGGCAATTAAGAAGAAACAAGGAGCTTCAATTGAGATCTAGCAGGATTGAATTGTAAGAAACTTAACATAAGAAGAAAGTTCAACAGGAAATGGATAGCCCTCGGCAAGCATCTTGGTGCAAGTTGTAAAAAGCTTGATATATGCTTTCGATGTGTCTTTGGCATGGTCTACTAAGATATCAATATACCATTATGAATACTCGGAGTTTGGTTTAGAGTAATATCATTTACTTTAAATTAGCCTGCTCTAATATTATTTGATAATAGGACCATGTTCACGGGTGACTGCTTTTAAAGCAACACCGACAAAGGAAACCTAAGGCCACAGGGTTGCAGAACAAAGGTTATAGGGTGAACTTTCGAGTATATAACATATTATATTAGAGAGGTTATATTATCAGAGGTTCACTAGCAGGCTTGAAGGCCTATAGTACTAAAAAGCACAGTGGGCTCCATCAGGTCAGATTCTCTGTAGTGCAAAGCACCGTGGTGAAGTTCCTTGGCAGAGAACCCTCAAGGTGGCAACAGGGTAATGCATGTCATACCAATGAGATATTTTACATTAAAACAAAGGAAACAAGGATAAAACTAGAATGCCAAGCCTCGGTGGCGATTACTCTAGGCCACAGTGTGCTCATTTACCTTTACCTATACTGTAGTCTTGAAGGATTCAACGGCCCAATGATACATAATATTCAATATAAAACCATTTCTTCCACTTTTCGGGAACTTGGCCCAGAAATCACCCTTTTGAGACTACTTACCTATCTGGGCTAAACTGTCGTCATTGAAAAAAAAAAGGGAATCACTCCGAAAACTGTCCATATTTCATCCACGCTTCCAGAAGACCAACACATGCCAGCTCAAGTGACTGCTTGATACAAGAACACAAGGATAAGTCCGGAGTGTAGTGCCCAACAGGTTAATTAAGGCATCCCACCAGTAAGCGAATATACCTATTGACCCCAAACAGTCAATACCCGGCTCGCCCAACTCTGATTGGTCCCGGTTCTCCGCATCTTCCCCAGACTTGATGTCAGCCGCAAGTTGGTCTCCATGATTATTGGCGGCTGAGAAGAATATGACATTTGTATTGTTTCAGACTATGTTGATGACGATTACAACGGCCACGTACCTATCACGCGATACTTTGTGATCTGCGGGCTACTAGATTTAGCAGCGAACATTCTTTTTTTTTCAAGTGTATCCCTAACATTTGATCTTTGGATTGAACCTTAAGTTTGTTGATCAGCCTTGTTGGGAGGTCAGGTGCTCTAGTTTGGCTATGTGGTACATTCCGACTGGATGGATGTACGCGGTTATTTTGTCGGTGAGGGGGAAACGTTGAGATTCGGTTATTGGTGCCGGTTTGGGGACGACGCTTAAACATGAAATATATACAAGGGCTCTCCATGACAGTTAATATATGTTGTATGTCATTGTACAACGATGAGATTTGAATGCCGATCTATCTTCAAGTGGGGCAAGATTTACATGCAGCTAAACTCTAGAATAGAGATGAAAAAAGTTGAAATAATTTATAACAATTAGTATTCAAACGATCGGGTTGTAGTCTAACGTCATGATAGCACGCAAAATCTGCAAGGCCAATTGTCGCTGTCTAGGAAAAGACAACGATCAAAATCAAATCCCCAAAAAATCAAAGCCCACGCTTCGCTATTCCCGCCCAATAACTCAAAAGAAGACGACGCAGAACGCCATGCAATGAATGACCAAAAGAAGACGGTCACGCGTAGTGATTGAAAAAGGCAAAATCGAACCAATGCCATAATCAATCTACCACGCGGCATGGCCACCATCCATGCGCAGGTCGCTTCCAGTCATGAAGCTACTAGCATCGCTGAGCAAGAAGACAGCCGCGCCACGGTACTCTTCCGGTCGGGAGAGACGGCCAAGCATGTTCTCTTTGGGCCACTGATCGCGACGTTCAGGGAAGTCGATGAACAGCTTCTCAACCATAGCGGTGACAATGTAGCCAGGGGAGATGGTGTTGACGCGGATGTTGTAGGTGCCCCATTCGGCAGCGAGGTTGCGGGCGAGCTGGAGGACCGCAGCCTTGCTAGCGTTATATGCGGGGCAAATAAGACCCTGTAGAAAAATAATGTTAGATCCTCTAACTTCGTACGCCAACTAGAAGAACGGAATGTGATATGGTGGAAATTGCACGGGTAAGATGAAAATAGGGGAGTGGAAACGTACGCGATTGGCAACGGTACCGCTCATAGAGGCGATCATAGCGATACTACCTCCATTTCCGAAGCGAATCATTTGCTTAGCCACAGCCTGAGAGGTCATGAACACCCCCGTGACGTTAACCTCGAACATAGTGTTGCTATCCTTGGCCGAGTATTCGAGCGCTGGGGTCTCCTGCTGGATACCTGCTGCGGCAACGAGGCCATCCATACGGCCCTCTTCATTGGCGATGGTCTCGATGACACTGTTGAGAAGTTCTGTGTCACGCACGTCAATACGACGGTAGTGCAACGTGGTGCCAAGCTCTTTTGCGCGCTGCTGGATCTGCTCGAACTCGGGGGCCTGGTGATCGAGTGATTGTTAGCTTAGTGCTGATACAGAGGGATATTGTGATTGTATGAACTAGATCCGAGGAATGTAGAAACTTACCGGCTCTTCCAGACGGTCGAGTGCGTATACCTTCGCTCCGGCTTCCAGGAGTGCCTCTGCCTGGACTAATCCTAGACCCCGGGCAGCACCTGACACCAGCACCACCTTTCCAGCGAGACTGAACTCGGACATTCTGGACTTGTGGCCCATCAAGACGGGCTGGTTGGTCATAGGAGCAGCGGGAACTGGAGTGGTTTCAATGGAGACAGACATTGCGATATGATATATTAGATATTAGGCAATGGCAGTGACGATAGAATTGATATTAATAAAGGCGTCAAAAGGTTATTAGACTGATTGTTTCGTATACAGACAAAGAAGAATGAAGATGATTCAGTTGAGGAACCATGGACCAGAGAATGAACTCTCTTTAAATACATATCTTGTTGACCGGAAAAGTCAGGCCGAACCAAGACCAAAGCGCCCTAGAGGTGTCTCGTGAACAGAAAGAAACCAAATGACAGCCCAAAAAGGAAATCCAGACTTGGACCAAGGGTACTGCAAAGCGGATAAGTCCAGACCTCCTGGAATGCAGGTTGAACGGCCGTGGCGAGGCATACGCAACCCTACAAATAGGATGAACACATAGAATAATCATCTATGTAGTATAGTACTTGGTACTATATCAATTGATCTTTCGAGTCAAGAAATTCGACACTCGTTATCTTGTTAGGATCCTTGTTCCGATTTTCCTCATACACACTTTCCAGCAATAATATCGACTGAATAATACGTTGAAGTCAGGGTTAGTTCATCAGGGGGAAATACCAGTCACCAGACATGATGAAATCCACGATAGTTCGACGATAGTGTGGCCGTTCGGAAGCTAAGGGATGGCCGGATTTCTCATTTGGGAAAGCCGTCGGGGGACTGGGAACCCGGGGAACCCTAACGCCACTCTAATTTTTGACCTTCAGCATTATTTTTCTTTATTGCTTTTTTTAAACGAAACTCATCCAGGTGACCTCCGACCCCCTTGAGAGAACTACGCGTACACCGTACACAAACTACCAAGCCTCGAGCCGGGTCTTCTAGAAATCTTCCAAGCCTCAAGTACTATCCGGGGTCAGGTGGCTCTTTGCAGATCAATGACTGAATCCCTACCAATCCCTACCAATCAGGTTAGTAAATATGGCCTGTGATATCTGTTCCTGTCCGATCGCCCCGGCTCCAAGGTGGCGGCCCGGGCGAAGAGGAATTCATTGGTCAATTCCTGCACCAAAGTCTGAGGATTTTTTTTTTTTCTAAAATCTAAAATCTAAAATCTAAAATTGAATGTGCCAGATATCTGAAAACAAAGTACGTGTTGTTCCAAGGTTCAAACCGAATAGCTCAATCTGGATACTCCGGGTTCTCGATTCTCCATTCTCCATATGGGGGAAGTACAAAAACTAAAATTAGGACTTCAACATTGAAATCCAAAAGAGTCCAGACTTCATGCCAATGCTCAGATAGGACTAAGGCCATATAGCTTATCTGACTATAACCCTGCACTAATATAATAATCATACATAAGAGGACATACCTTGTGACCATCAGAACTTTCCATTCCCAAGCTCCTTACTCAATGGGGAAATTCCGAGGTTTCCACTTTTTTTTTCTTTTGCTCTCGTGATGTTTCATTTCTATACCGAAATTCCCTTGAGCCTTGTCTCTACCGTACCGGTGTACACTCTGCATACTTCCAAGGTTCGGCCGCGTCTCCGATGGCTTATTTGTACCCGGACCCAGGGGTCTTGCTGACGAAACCCCCACGCTATGAACTCCCGGTAGAAACTACAAAATAAAAATAAAAAGAAAAAATAGATATGTAATTGTGTGGTCTGTGCCTTCATTTTCTCTTTGTTGGTCAGAATCTGATCCGGTCAATTCTTCGTCCCCCTGCCGTGCACTTTTCGGGCCAGCCTTGGTGGTTCCCCGATGTCTCAATTGCTGCCGGACCCTATCTGTCTTGCGCAACCACCCCCAAGTACTTATGTAGGTATTTTCTACCTAATTATGTATAAAGTGATCTGTGTAGCATTGTGTTGCACTCTGTGCATTTCTATTTCCCCTCTTCTTCCTCTTCTTAATTCTTGCTACTATGTATATACAGCCGTCTTTCAAAATCGGCATAACTATAATGATCTCTTACTATGTATGATACGTCGCTAGTATATGGCTATATGACTACATGACTTGTTTCTTGATCATCCAAAGATGACCGTAAATACAACTGATCGTCTGTACATGTATGTAGTTGGAAACGAAATAGCAAGGCTGTACACGAGTTAGCAGAGGACGGAGACAACAGCCTAATGATTAGGTTAGGTTTGTATGGCATGCAGTTAGGTTAACAGGGTTGAACCTTGGAAACACTGAATTGAAAATAAAGCTTAACCTTCTCGGCAATCCAGGATCATGCCCTGGAGTAAGATACCTACAAACAATGTAGGTACCGCCACGTCTCGTCCATACGATGCCATGCAAGCATAGTATGTACCCGGAAGAAACTCGGTGGATCGAGCGGGTCCTGCCGAACCCTACATACATGTAGGTTAAGCCTAGGTTAATGATAAGGATCTGCATTCGTTCAAGGGAGATCGTGATGATCCTAATATCCTAATCAAGTAAAGAAAGCAAATCTGAACACCAGAACCCCCAGCAATGACCCATCTGGTCTTATATTCCTAAGGCTACCATACAAGAGCATTCTAGGGAGACTGACTGAAGTCGAATAACGGATTAGATTATACATATGAGGTAAAAATACCTGCCCAATCCTCAACCACCCAATGCACGATATTGCGCTTGAACAAGATGTCACCCCAAAATACCGAAGAGTCCTTCGGTGCTATGTACAATGGTTTGTTCGCTTCCAGTTTCCATAAAAGTATAGTTGCCGAAATCCAGGGTTGAGTAACATCAAGGGACAGAAAATAAAAAGCAAAAACACAGTGCCATCTAATGCCATATAGATGGATATGAGAAATATGAAAGAAAAGGGCTGTCCAGCCAAAATGGGGGAAATATTTTCAAGTAAATGAGGGAGCTCAAACATTCACGCATAAATACGTGATTAAAAATAACTCCGTGGTAACGCCAGTTCCAAGACAATGTAGGAGATATCATGAGATGCAAAATGAGGAGAGAGCCAGAAGAAAAATGGAAGAAATGCAATGCGAAGTAAACCAGAACAATCACAAAGGTCCGGTTTGTGTGACTTTTGACTTGATTTTTTTCGATGATTCCGCGGAGCTAGTATATGACTAGGCTTCACGGTAACCCCAAATACGTTTTTGTTCACTCACCCACCACTTGCCAACTAGCTCAGCATCCTTGAGCCAATCAGCGGATTCTTGGCCAAATTTAGGCTTAACCTCTTTGATGAGGGTTTCCAGAGTCCACGCCTTGGTGAGGTGGGCTTCACCGGGGTCTTTGTCTAAGTGGGTGAATGTGTACTCGAACCCTTCCTTCAGGGGAAGGATGAGACGGTATGGAACATCGGCTGCCATGACGGAGAGCATTGAGCCACCGGCGTTGATCAGTCCCATGTTCCAAACGA